GTCACCTAAACATAGGTGATGAAACTCCTCTAATTGACCCCCGTCTTCATCATGCCGTGCCACGTCTGCCTGATGACAAGCGGTATGCCTGGTTGTGCGAACACATGCCGCGCCCTGTCCCGGACACACGCGTCGTAGGTGACCCGTGCGCTTGCACCTGCTGCACACGTATTCCCGGAACCGACAATCCTCATAACCGTGGCCTGTCCCTCCGCATCCGCTGCAATTTTGACTGCTAATTGCATCGGGCCTCCTTACAGCTGCAGACGATCCCGGCCGATTGTGTTGTGGCTGGCGGTCTCCGCGCATTCCGCGCCCGCCTCCCCCCAACGTTCTCCGCGATCCATTTTTCCCAATCACCAGCGAGTGCACCCCCGCCATATCTCTTCCTGATGTTGCTGACTCGGTTGCATCTACCGCCGCAGCGTTCCGCTCCGCGGCCTCTAACGAGCTGGCAATCTTTATCGCATTGGTGAAACTTAATGTGTCATCCTCCGCAAACAGCCTCTGCCGAATAACATCGCTCCTTAATCCGCAGACAAATTGATCCCGTAGACTTTCACTAAGACCGTCGCCCAGTTTGCAGTGACGTGTTAATTTTTTTAACTCTGCTACGTACTCTGCTATATTCTCATCCGCTGCTTGCCTCCTTTGTCTAAAACGATACCTTTCCGCTAACGCGGATGGTGCCGGCTGTAAGTGGTTGCGCAATAGACTAATGGCGGCGTCGTATTTTAATTCCGACGGATTCACGGGGCTAGCCAGGTTCACTAGCAACTCGTAGGCCTCATCGCCCATGACCGCTATTAGCGTGGGCAACTTGAGATCACTACTTATTTTATTTGCCGTAAAATACATCTCAAGTCTATCGACATACGACGACCACACCCCGGTTTTTACATCGAACTCGTTCACTTTTCCAATCGACATTGTCCTCGAATTAACTTGTAAACTTTTACTCACAACGATTAAAAACACAATAAAACTACGTTTTTATCCTCGTCGCCAATGTGATGTATATAAAAGCCGGAGAGAACACAAAGAACGTAACGCAATCTATAACAGTTTATTCCATAATGAATTCCCTGTATTATCTTAATTTACCCGCCACCTATATATTCAGTCTTAACCTACTACCCTACATTACAGATTATACAAACGCTTTTTGATACATTGACAGAAAACAGTGTTTAGAACGTAGACAGAGAAACCTATAGACAAATTGACGCCTTCTTTCGCATTCGCACACGAAAAAGATAGATTTATGCATACGTCTTGCATAGAAATGAGACAGAGGGGTGTGATTGTTTGTCCCTTTCTCCGTGCCGGTTATTTTATTATTTTGTTATTTTATTACGGTTATGTTATACAACTTTGACAGTTCGTAGCGATCTAAGGAGTTTACAAGTTGGTTTAAGTGAGAAAAAAGTGTTTCGTGAGCTTAAGATTGGTGAATCTTGTTCAGTTCAGTTCTTAGAACAATTAAATTTTTTATCTAAATATGTTTAAAAGTCATAAAGATTATTGTATAACCTAAAACTAAGTTATAGTCCTTTCTCACTCTAGGCCACGCTAATCATTAGTCTATAGGTTTCTCTGTCTACGGTTTAAAACATGTTTTTTTTTTTGTGAAAATCGCGTCAGTGCAAACTTTTAACGTATGAAGTGTAGAAGTAAGGAGTACAGACTGTGTATTAAAGTGTCCATAAAAACCTTTAAATAATAATATAAAATATAAACCTTTATATAATGAGTGGCGCCACTATAGCTACGGAGTAAATTTTAAGGAACGCACCGAAAAATATTAGTGGGATAGATGACTTTTTCGAGGTTATATTTACTAAATAAAATTATTTTAGTTTTTAGAGCTACTGAGCAGTTTAGTCGCACACTTAAACCATCGACAACTGCTAAATTCATTTCATCCCAGTAGCTACCCCAGCACTCTTGTGGAGAGTTTTTGAGCTGTTACTTACTGCTTACAGATGACCACTTTTTCAACTATTCTAGTATGGGAGTTGGTACTCCTTACTTCTACACTCCATAACAGCAGTAACGACAAAGAGTAATCCATGAAGGTTAGAGAACAGGAGAACGATCACCGTAGAAAATAGTGTCCAGAAATATGGACACCATAAGTGAGGCACTGCGATCGCTCGAGGTTCGGTCAATAAAAGTCATTTTCAGTCTATTTCTCCGATCAGATGCAACCACTTGCACATCCACGCACAATAAAATATTTCTCCATTTTTTAATTTTTCTTTTTGTGAAAAATTAAAAAATTACGGAGCACGAAAATTTTCGCATTAAAAATGAAATGAAAATTTGTACATTATTCAACTAACTTCATCTACTTGTACTCATAAACAGCTAACTTCGCAGTCACTATTCAACGACGTCAGCGCCGCTATACATTCTACAATTTTCAAGGACAGGCGGGCTAGGCTTTAGTACGTAGTGATCGTTTTTCGTTCTCCTGTTCTCTAACCTTCATGGAGTAATCCATAGATAAATAAATATGTAGCAAGCTAGAGTAATCACTACATTTTTTACATTATATTATATACTCTTTGTCTTTGTTTGTCAGTTTTAATGGTGGTTAATATAGCGCATAGCGCCATATTATTGCGCGCTATCTCTCCATAACACATAGTACGTGTTATTTACGTAGTCACCATGGCGCTATTGCGCTATGGCGCTTTGGCGCTATTAAGTATTAATATTTAGCGGCAACTAGTTCTAGCAGCAGCACTGTTGGGAGAGGACGTGTGACGCAAATTTGATCTAGTAGCACGCTATTCATCGCGCGTGACCTAATTTAGTGTTAGACGTTGTTTAGTTTGTATATACTGTATATTTGTAAGTGATCGAAAGATACAGTTGTCTGCTATAAAAGAAGTCTAACTAATGTTTGAAATGTAAATAAAATATAGATACAAAAGTGTATATAATAGTGTATGTAAATAGTTAATTTTTATAAATACAATCAATAAACTTTTAAATGCACCTTTATTTGATTTATAATTTATATTAAGGTTGAAATAACGTTTAAATCAATTATAATAAAAAATATAAAAAATAATTAATTTTATTTAATTTTTAAAAGTACATGCTTTAAAAATATTTTTAGGATTATAGAAAGTCGTAAGCCTGAAAAGTATGAAAAATTCTAATTGGTTTTTCTTTACCACTTTATTTTATTTTAATCTAAAATGCGACTTATTACGAAACAATGTTCTTATATAGCACGCGGTCTATCCAATGCAGTGTTGCCATATATACAGATTTCCCCCGTATTTATACAGATTTTCGGTGTATGATACAGATTAGCACTGGGTACAGATTTTTATACAGAGTTTTCTAACTCTATTGATTGGATTATCATAATATTCAACTTAAAATAGAATGAAGCAAAATAAGAGACTAGATACCGCGTTACACACATTCATGATTCTATTCTTTATGGTTGATTTATTTTTTCACAACGTAATTAGTATGGCAGAATTACAAGTGTATTACAAAATATGTATACAAGGTGTAAGTTTAAACACCTTTGTCACTAAAACTATAGGTAGTTGGCTTTAATATGAAAATATTTATCCAAATTCTAAAAAAAAAACCCATTTTCTTTCATAAAATTTAAGAGGTTTCTGTCCGAAACCGTCCGTAAATTCATGGATACCCTATGCGCCCGGGTGAGTAATCACTGTAAAGATCACCGCCCGCACTAGCTACCTACACTATATTCTAATAAAAACACAATAGGTACACATAACCTGTGATGTAACTTTTCCTTCATACTTTCACCCTGGCTTAGGACAGGCAAAATTGAGGAATTAAGGAAAAATTGAGATTTTACTAAAAAAAATGTTATTTTTCATTGAATTTACGTTCTATAAGTGAAACCAAACCACTGGTTTCAAGTATAACGATGTTTACACTAACGCCCTGTGTATAAAATATGTATGACTGAAAATAATAAAGTAATTATATCTTCATTAGGCAAATGTTTGAGTTTTAATATGTTGTTTGCTTAAATTAATGTTTTCAATTTTGCTATATAAAAAATTTAGTGTATAGTGTATATTTTATACATAGTAGAGCCACGTTGTAGCTATATATATATATATATATATATATATATATATATATATATATATATATATATATATATATATATATATATATATATATATATATATATATATATATATATAAATAGCTGACGCTCGACCGGGGAAGGACCACGCTCTCACAGAATACCAGCGTAAAATACCAGCTTAATACTGCTGTGTTTTGTATGGTGGAAGTAGAAATGGAGACCCTTTTTACTGGAAATGAGGCATCCCCTCTTGGTCCTCAGGCGTGACAACGTATCTGCGTTTTAATTCTTAAGCGAGGATAAATGTGGATGTCTATGGGCCACAGCATCCACTTACCATCGGTGGACTGTGTGCTCGTTTGTCACCTTTATTCTATAAAACAAATATTTTTATTTGATAATGATAATCAAACCTTATCTGCTTATCGTGTTAGTAGTTATTCCTTGTTTTTCAAAAAAAGCAATGATGATGATGATCAATTATTCTATTTTGGTTTATTAAGTTATACAAATTTTAAGTTTAAGTAGCATACAGATTTAATACAGATTTTAGCAGTGTCTAATACAGATAAAAGGTTCAAGACATCTGGCAACACTGATCCAATGAACGACATGTAATGTAGCGTGCTCCGAGATATAGCGTGCTGCTAAACTTAAGCGCTTGCCGGCCTCCTACACGCTTTCTTATAAATAGCGCGCTATAACATAGCGTATTTAATAGCGCGCTAGAAATTTATAGTTTATAGTTTGTAGCGTGTTATTGATTTATAGTCGTTTTGAACAACTAGTCAGTTTGCCACACAGTTTTCCATCTGTCATACTAATAGGCGCGGCCATGTTGGTCTATAGTGAATAAAGCGAAATAATTTGCTTTTTGAGAATTACAAATTGGCACAATATGCCCAAATGCGACCTCAAGACCAGATACATCCCTGCAACTTTTGCCTGGACATTGCTTTTGGGCACGACATCTCTGTTTTTTTATTTTCCGTAAGTATACATCATGTCGATCCAATACGAATTTACACATAGGGTTGACAACTTTCACATACAATAAGGAATTATTTCTAATAATATCTTCTTTTTAAAGTTACTAGTGGTTTATTTGGCTTATATTATGTATTCCTCGCTTGTCTACCATGAGGACTGCACGTACATTTGTAGGCCGTATTAGAGAAGAAATTTATTTACATTAAAACCATTTGAAACTCCTGTGTATAACACATTTTCTTGCTGTAGCCATAACCGTGATATCTGTGACCAAATCATTAAAGACAATGCCAATTATAAACGCTAAAATAAGGTAGAACAGACATAATAATATGACTTGGATTTTTCAACCATCATATGTTACTAAAAAATTAATGCACTCCCAAAATAAAGTTGTATATTATAAATATTTCTAAACACCTGTTTATATTTTATCATTTGTAATTTCAGTCAGCAGTGATAAATATAAATTCTAAGTGGCTTTGTCCACCTTTGCTTTTCCAGCTCTGTAGTGGAGTTTATATTTTATTTTCAAATTATTTCATATAAATTTTACAATATATTAATAATATGTGCTTTTAAAAAATATGAACTTAAGAAAAGCACCTAGTTTATAAATTGTTTCTTCCCAGGGCTAAGGTTTTCTGAGATACATTATAAAGTAAATTTAAAGGTTTTGTTAGTTATAAGCATAATTTAAATAATTTATATTAAATGTGGTAGCATAAGGAAACCCATCACTCTATTTTGTCCTGTGGATGTTCCTTGATACTGGGTGTGGATTATCTAAACTGACTATGGAGAATAGTGTCAATTGTGCAAACTATCTGGTGCTGTGAATGACGACAAGCTGCCTAAAGTAGGACTATGCAATTTCCCAACACCCTCTCAGAAGAAACCCATGTACAGCAGTGGAGTTTTATATGTAGTGCATATGATTTACTTAACACTCACTTTCCAGTTTTTAGCGCAATAGAAAGACAAAAGCAATGACCTATATGTAGTATATGGGACAGTGATGGGTTAAAGAAACATAATAACTTAGAAGTTTACAAACTCAATTTCACAATAATGTTATACAATTTTTAAATAGCCATCAGCTCATTACCAAGGGTTATTTTGATTCATGTTTATCTTAATATTATAATATAAGCCTTTTTAAACTGTTATAGCTTAGTAAAAAATATTTTAACTTCTTGATTGATATACATTGAACATTTTCTGGGATTTGTTGTTAAAGCATAATATACATTGTGATTATAGTTTAGAAACTATTATCATCCTATTTCAGTCTGTTGTTTTTAACTTTTAACTATAGTTTATTGAATATAATATAACTAAGATTATATTTTGTACATTTGTGATAAATGTTTTCAGTTTAATATACAGAATACCATCGTAAAATAGCAGCCTTATGCTGCTGTATTTCGTATGGTGAGTGTACCTTAGTGTATGGTAGAGACCCTTTCTACTGGAAACAAGGCATTTCATTTTAGTCCTCAGGGGACAACGAATCTGCATTTTGATTCTTAATTTAAGATAAATGTAGATGTCTATGAGCCACAGCATGCACTTACCATCAGGTGGAATGTGTGCTCATTTGTCACCTTTATTCTATAAAAAAAGAATATTTGCTGAAATATGAAAATTATTATATTATGAATATAAGCTGCTCCTCCTGTATTTATATCATTATTCATATATTACTGAAACAGTACTTTTCAAATCTTGATTGTATCTGGGTTAGCTTTCTAACCTAATAAGCATTGGGTTTATCAATTAATTTTTATATAAAATAATTTTTATGGTCTTGATATTACTAACCCAGGAGAAATGCTGGCACTTTTAATTAAGTGGCATGTTACTTATTAATAAGAAAAATATACTTAATGCAATTTTTCAAACAACTTTAAAAAAACGAGTTTCTTTATTCTACTGTATTTTTTATGTGTGTTATCTCGGAACATTTTTCTAGGTAAACTGATTTTGATAATTCTTTTTTATTGGAATACTGGTGCTTCTCATATAGTCCCATATAAATTTGATCAAAATCTGACTGGGAGTTTTTGAGTTGTCCTTAATAATGCATATTTAATTGACTTTGAAAATTAAATAATTATACACTTATAATTATAAAAATTGCAAAATTATATAATTATACACTTGTATGTATATATTGTAATAATACATTAACAAATTGTCATATTTGTTATTCTAATTATTGAGGAATAAATTTTAATATAATCAACTCAAATGCCATATACATATGCTTGCAGTTTTTAATTTTTTGCTCATGTACAATATAGGTAGAGATTTTCTTTTAACACAGCAACTATGTAGTATACTTTTCTGTAATGCCTCATTTACAATAAAAAGGGTTTTCGGTTTTCTATCTTAGTCCTCATGGGTACACACATCTTATCTGCATTTGGACTTGTAATCGAGAATAAATGTACAATAGTATAAAATAATGTTGTCCAAAATTGCTAAGCTTCTTCAGGATGGTCCTTTATACATGCAGATGTTGTAGGTCAATTTCTTTATAGTTGCTTTTTATAGAATATGGATGACAAACAAGCACATAGTCCACCTAATGGTTATTGGATGCTGTAGTTCTTAGACATCTTCATCTATGCTTTATTGAAAATTAAATGCAGATGCATTGCACGCCTGATAACTTGAATTTTTTTTTACTCACTTCATTTAGCATGTTTAGGAAAAAAAATATTGGTGGACTAGGAGTGCCAATTTTGTATTTTTTTACAGTATAAGGGTGACAAATGAGAACATAGTTCACCTAATGTTAAGTGGATGCTGTGGCCCATAGATGTCTACATTTATCTTCAATTAAAGATCAAAATCAGATGCGTTGCCAACCCTGAGGACTGAGATGGAACACCTCGTTTCCAGTAAAAAGGGTCTCCGATACTCAACATTCACAATACGAAACACAGCACTGTTAAGCTACTATTTTACGCTGGTATTCTGTGAGAGTGTGGATAAGACACTCTCACACACACTATGGATAAGAGTGGCGGCAGACAGAAAACAGTGGAAAGAGTTGGAGGAGGCCTTTGTCAAAAAACACACCGAAATAAGAGACATTTTGTAATATAAGTGTAGTTTTTGTTTATATAATGTTGTATTTTCTTTTTAAATTCTTTTTTTAGTTTAGCTAAACTTTAACTTAGTGTAATAATGTAAAATATTTCGGAAAATAAAGGCTTCATTATTATTATTATTCTGTGAGTGTGGTCTTACCCCAGTCGAGCTGACCCATTCGTGCTGCAACCATAATATAGCTTAGCTATATGTTGTATGAGTTAAACTTATATTTGTTTCAGGTGCCAGTATTATCTTCACAAGCACCCATGGGTTCCTGCATACCAAGGTGTCATAACATTTTTTGTTTTGGCCAATTTTACACTGGCCACTTTCATGGACCCGGGCGTGATACCAAAAGGTTGGTTAAAGTAATTTTCATGATAAACATGTGTCCCATGTTTGACTTAAAAGAATGTGTCAACTGTGTAACTCTAGCATGTCCTTAAAAGCGACTAATGGGGTATGAGTTTGTGTTTATTTAGGTGATGGGCTAGACATTCTTATACAGTTATCCATGTTAACCCATGTTTTTTCGGCTAAATGTTAAATGTAAATTGTTCATGTGGATTCTTCCTATTTGATGACATAATTACAGGCATAACTAAAACTACTTTTACAGATTTTATCGTGTTTAATTGTACTTAGTTTTAATTCCCATTGTTTCGGGTGCTTTCCAACACCCATGGTCTCTGATTATATAATGCATAGGAAACGTCGGGATCTAATAATAAGTACAATTAAACATGATAAAATCCTTAAAAGTAGTTTTGTTCAATGTGTAGTGTTTTCGTAAATATAAGTAATCATACAGGCATTGCATTAAGTAAATTACATTGTAAAAGTTTTAACTATATAGAAGGCTTCATAAATAATCTATTACTCCTTATACTGTGGATGTCCTATACAAGTGGGTTTCTTTTTTTTACAAGTTATTTGGTTTGCAATAGTCATCTTAAAGAGGTTAAACTTCAACAATCTATTATTAACCATGTCGAATTTATTAGGATTGGGTTTAATGGGTTTTAATTTTGTTTTGCGTGTAGCCTTAATTCTTTTTCTGAAATAAATGTAGCCTAAGTTACTAATTATAATATCAGCTATCTGCCGGTGAAAGTCCCATCGAAATCCAGGTCCACCCATTTTGGAGATTATTCGGAAACAAACAGACAGACAGACAAAAATTTTAAAATTGTTTTTGTTATCAGTACTGTATATAATTTCATAAGCATTCAGTAGAAAGCTATTATTTTGACAATACAAACAGACTTCAACTTTTAATTGTATAGATTGCTTAAGAAACAAATTGTCTTGCTTAATGATTGCTGATGTTTTTATAGTTACAATAGGATTTTATCATTATTATCTGTTAATTTCGGATAACAGAAATTTTCTTTCTTAATATAAATTTAATAGAATTGTTATCATTAAAAACCAATAATTAATAAACTATTTTAATTATAATGTTGTTCTGGTGTGGAAATTAGAATCAATCATTCCATCATTATTTAAGAGCCAGCGAGCCATCTCGTAGTCTCTTATAGATATGGCGCCAGGACGATGTAGTGCTTGGGTTTCAGGTAAATGTAGATAATATTGTTGACAATTTTCGCATTTCGGTACATTGTAAATTACTTGTTTTTCTTTTGCTGGCTGGAAGTGGGCCCTGCCTGTTGCAAAGAGAATTTGCCTTAATTGTCACTCCTGGCATTAATATTCAGTTTACCGGACATATCGCACCTGTGACACTGCTGCAGCACCCAGTGCTGGCGCCACCGCGACTTATCAGAAGCCATAAGGTGTTTCTGGAATTTTCCATAGTTACTTGTTGCCACAGTGTTAATTACTGAGCAAAAACTAATTAAAATGACTATTTAATTAAACATTGTAGTATGTAATTATATTGCTTTTAAATATCCTTAAATGAAAATTACCTTTACTGTTGCTGTTACAGCCTGTCCAAAGTTCACTTTTTTATATAGGATAGGGTGACAAACTAGCACACAGTCCACCTGATGGTAAGTGGTTGCTGTGGCCCATAGAGACCTTCATCTATCCTCAATTACGAATTAAAATGAAGATATGTTGTCAACCGTGAGGACTAAGATGGAATGCCTCGTTTCCAGAAAACGGGTCAACACAGCAGCATTAAGCTACCATTTTACGCAAGTATTCTTTGAGAGCGTGATCCTTCCCCAGACGAGCCGACCTATTCATGCTACAACTATACTACTAATATAACTGCAGCATGGCTCTACCACATATCAACTACTGATAGTAGTAGTAGTTGCCGCGCATGGTAGGCTGATTGCCAACGGATTTTTTGTAATTTTTTTTTTGTTATTAACAAGATGCTTGCTGCCGAATTCCAGCTTTGTTTTCCTGTGTAGCCTCTTACTACACTGGACGATATTGGGTAGTAGACATTCTTATATCGCCACTACATAATTGAAACGGACAATGATTTAATTACATATTTCACTGATCTTATAAAGGACAACCGGTAACTTAGGTTGACTCATAATAGTAATTTATAGAATGCAAGCTACATGATTTCAATGCTCGCCAGTACCATTGAAATTGTAGTCACAATTTTAAATACTGATTTATCTGATTGATAGAATGTTTTAGGATTAATCAATATTGATACGATTGTCACAGCTCCACCTGACGAGGACCGCGAGGATGACTTTCGTGCGCCTCTATACCGCAGCGTGGAGATCAATGGGATCACTGTGCGCATGAAGTGGTGTGTCACGTGCAAGTTCTACAGGCCGCCGCGTTGCTCGCATTGCTCCGTATGCAACCACTGCATAGAGGTGATTTTTGCTTGTCACTATATCAGTGGCGTAGCATGGGGCGTGCCGCTGGGCTATAGCATCGGCGGCGGGTTTTTGAAAAGTAAAACAAAATTCTCCAATAAATTTGAATATAGAAGTAATTTTCTCGCACACACTTGCCAAGAGTAATTTTCAAATAATATGCGTAGGTAGAAAGACTCATGGATTTTATATGATGAGCAAACGAGCGAAGGGAAAAGGAGGAGGGGGAGGGGTGGCATTATTGCATTACCATTTTGCTCTAGTGGCCCTGGGCGGCAGAAACTCATGTTATGCTACTCTTGGATATTGATTTATATGGGAGTGTGCATTGCTTAAAAATTTTATGACTTGTTTTATTTTGTGACTTGCTGATCTAATAAATTTAAACTATTTCCCTTGTTTTTTTTAAAATAAATTAATAATATTTTTCTTTTATTCCCAGACATTTGACCACCACTGCCCGTGGGTAAACAATTGCATCGGAAGACGAAACTACCGCTTCTTTTTCTTCTTCCTGATATCACTATCGATACACATGCTGAGTATATTTGGACTAAGCTTGTACTTCGTTATGAATAACAAGACGCTTACGCAGATTGAGCCTATAGTCTCGTATCCTTTTTAATATTTGAGAGTAAATAAGTAAACTTAAGTCCTATAATCATACTACTAGGCCTGATCCCAGGTTTATAAGAGTAGTCATCTATGTACATGGCAAATCAACATCATGAAAATAACATTCTCAGAGTGAGGGCAAAGGTAATTATGCCCCTCTTGCTTTATCCAATATAAACACTGAATTTTTTTCAGTTCTTTGCTGACGAGAATTGTGTTAATGTTATTAGTTACCTAGTTATGTCTTTTGAGAGGTGAGTTTGGAGCTTATCTGATGATAAATGCCAACCATGGACATCCTAAATAACTCCAAACAAAGAAAACTGCATACACCCTCGTACACTACTATACTGACATGTAATAGTGGGCATATTGCTGCTTTGACTCAATTTTTAACCAGAATGGTAATAATGGGCATAATAGCTCTATTAGCGATTCCAATCTTCGGGCTGACGGGGTTCCACATGGTGCTGGTGTCCCGCGGGCGCACCACCAACGAGCAGGTGACAGGGAAGTTTACCGGCGGGTATAACCCCTTCTCAAAGGGGTGCTGGAACAATTGTTGCTATACGCAGTTTGGGCCACAGTATCCTAGGTGAGAGAATACTCCACTATTATGGATTTTTTTTAATAGTGTGTATCCTTTTAGTGACTATAAAATTGAAGTAACTTGATATGTGAAGGTCTCATATCCCTTCTTCTTTAACTCATCAGGAGTTTGTTGGACATGAGCCTCTCTCATGGAAAAGAAGAATGCTTAAGTGGGTAATTTAAGAAAATCTGTTAATACTAATTAATTATTAAGGCCAGAACGAATAGGCGCCTATCAATAAGGTACAGCCATGCATCATGCAGACAATAAGTTCAGAAGATTTAAGACAAGTTGTTATTTACATTTGCTACAAGAACAATTGACTTATTTCAACCGAGTAGAAATACAGTCCATTAGTCCGGCATCCAACAGTCCGGAATGCCCGATAGTCCGGCATAGCTCTTTGGTTTTCGGTTTTCACCAAAAGTGTGTCTTTAAAGCAAATAAAAACGCTCGAGAGCTATTCGGAAGTTTTCGGGGTAGTTCGGGATCATCCGGAAGCGCTCGGTATTGTTCGGAAACAATTACGTAGTAACTTTTGAAACTGTTTATAAAAAAGTGAGTTATGTTCTAACTGTACAGTGACCATGTTTTCAAAACCTAAGCCTTCGAGTTCAAAAGGAGAGAAATGAAAGCTTGTAACACTGACTCAATCAGAAATTAGAAATCATCAAACGGCTAGAAAAAGGCGAGAATAGAAATATTTTAATGAATGAGTTTAATATTGGCTCATCAACTATTTATGACATAAAAAACTAGTGAAGTTTGCTTCTCAATCGGTAACAACTGAAAAATTGGTTTCTAGACAAACATTAAAAAAACCAAAACTGGAACAGCTAGATAGTGTATTGTTCAAATGGTTTAGTGCAGTACGTTCTGAAGGAAAGCCGGTAACAGGGCCAATGATTGTTGAAAAGGCAAAGAAATTCGGCCAAGATTTAGGAGTTGCTGAAAGTGAATGTAATTATTCTGATGGTTGGCTAAACTTTGTTGTATGTACTTACATATACATAATAGTATGTACTTACATATAAATACAGTATGCAAATATACATATATATTTGCATACTGTATTTGTAGTTTAATTATTAACGTAATTGTTCTCATAATTACCGCCCGATAGACCGGAATTTTCGGTAGTCCGGCACCGAGCCAGTCCTGGACGTGCAGGATTATCGGACTTCTACTGTACATCGTGTGGATCTGTTGATGGTTAGAGATGGTGGTTATCCTATTTCATATTTCAACTTATAATATGGCAACTGCCTATGCAAAGTGAGATTTTCTTTTACAGCTATGGACGAGATAAGTTACATAATTAAATTTTTGGTTAGTTACTGGCCTTAAAAAGTCGGTTATATAATATAATCCTACACCACTTATGTTCGTCATTAAACGCTGGTATATATTTTAACACAAATTGATTTTTATTCGCGATTTTCGATCGTCGTTTTTATTTGTAAAAACTGAAGTTAGCTTGAATAAACATGATATTAAAGCTTCAATTGCATCCGTATACCCATGACCATTTGTGCTGCGAAGTATTCGAAAATAAAAACTCAATGCCTCAGAAAACATTTGTTTTCTGCTCGTAAATAAAAGAAAGAAACAAAAATTGCAGTTTGGTCCGCCCATCGAAGTACATCTACAAGGGTGGCAAGAAGCGACGCGACACGGGCATCGTTGGCCAGTCCGCGTCGGCGATCTCCACGATCGCGAGCGACACGCACCAGGTAAAGACGTACACGGCGGACAACGGCAGCGCGCACCGGCCCGTCGGCGCGCACGCGCACTACAACAAGGTGAGAGCCAGACGCTTGCCGCATTACCATGCCGCCCGTGCGGGCTGTGTTGAGCGAGTCCGGCTCGAAGGACCAATTGCAATATCATCAAATAATTCTCTTGCTTACTTTATTCACATCTAACTTTTATGATAAATATGTAAATTCAACTTAATATTATAATACATATAAATCTTAATATAAGTCACATAATATGATCAGGAAAAAAAACATGTACAATTTTAACAGCAATTGCATTATATTACGTAATAAGATGAGGTAGTTGTAATTTTATTTTCTTGATATATTGCATAAAAAAATATGACTAAAACATGATTCGCTCAATGCCGTCCTACTCGATCTCGTTTATAATTTCTATATTTACTTTATTGACAAATAAGAATTAAGAGGATAAGTTAATTTAAAATTCTCTTGTTTATATTTATATACAAGTAATTATTATTTTACATAGACTTGACAATACAACCATCAAATTTTTTTAAATTAAAATAATTACTTAATATACAAGTTAATAATATAATTTTTACCTTATTGTAATAAATTTAACAAGTATCTAAAATTCTTAAACAATCCTATTTATTTATATATTATTTTTCTTTTAAAAATGCTAAAGTTGGTTGTTTGATATGATAAATTCCTTCATTTGTTTTTTTTCACATAATATTTAATTTAACCTAATTCCCTGCTTTATTAGACTTTTAAATTGCTTGACTTCTTAAAAAAGTTCCATTTAGTTTCCATGCTTGTAGAGCGAACAATAACATACCTTCAATTCACAGTATAAATTTTGTTTTTTGCACTAGCACAATATTTATTGCTGTTATATTAAGTGAATTGAAGACATGAATATGTCTGGCTCTCTAATTAAATTTTTAATATAATTAGTTTTTTAAGGGAAAAGGTTTAACAAGTAGATTATATCTTTCAAAGTTTAGAATTGACTTGCATGGTTACACAACTAGATGTTCAGCATTGAACTGCTTATTTACCTCTATGAAGTTATTGACAATATTAAACTGGTTTACATTACACATTATCAATTTCAGCTGAAACTGCAGTTATAATCATAGACATACAATATAAAGATCTTTTTTAATAAGCTGTAATAGACACGTGTCAATCATGAATGATTTGTTCGTTTGAGCTGGTACACTTAAAAGTATTGATGGTTCATTCATCTGTTGTTGAATGTTCCCGTACAACCAATCACAAACAATTGTTGATGGAACCTTTTTAACTCTTGATTGGTGTGAATTGTGAATGAGTCGAAAACCGACCGAATCTGAATTATTTGAATGAATCGTTTTTAGTGTAGGGTACTGGAACCCGAAATGATCCATTTGAATGATCAATGTGAATATACTAGTAAGCGTGACGAAATTTACTAGAATGATTTGGTCATGAGAAATAAATGATAATAATAAATGATGAGTCTAAGCTGTAATTATAAAGGAATGTACATTGTAAGGCGAAACCAGTCGAATTTATAAACCAGCGATCCGCCCCGGCTTAGCACGGGCGATTTGTGGATCTCGACAATAGGGCTACCTACCGGGGCCTATTATAAATCTTTACCATCCCTCCTCCCACTCGAAAACACACAAAAATATTCATCAAAATCGTTTGAGCCATTTTCGAGTTTTAACAAGATTAAGGGACAGCAATTTATTTTTGTTTATAGACACAGATAAAGAATTGTAGTAAAAGATCTTAAGAATTAAATAATTAATTTAGTTAGAGTTCCACCAGTTAGCACCATTCGCATTTATAAATGTTATCATAACACTGTTTTTAAGTTGATATCTAATATTTGCAGTTTATCTCAATATAGTCATATAAATGTGCAACATTTTCTTTTCTCTCTTCTTTTTAATGGTATAGAAATACAGGTGATTAGCTTGTAATATAAGGTTTACTAATGCTTTTATACATTATTTATAAATTCAAGCAGTTTTCACACTTCTTGTTTTACATTTAATTTTTCATATATTTTTAATTTTCTAATTGTATCTCTTAAAGTGACAACTGATAACTAACACTTCATCACTAACGACTTTTATATGCATACTTGCATATGTGTACAGATAACTTTTAAAACATCAATACTTTTTTATAGTGACAAACGAGCACACAGTCCACCTGATGGTAAGTGCATGCTGTGGCTCGTAGACCTTTAACCTGGATTAAGTATCAAAATGCCGATGCGTTGTCATCCTTGAGGACTAAGATGGAATGCCTCGATTCCAGTCAAACATATCTCTGGTTCTCTAAACTCACCATACAAAACTCGAGCCGACCCATTCATACTACAATCATAATATAGCTGAAGCATGGCTCTACCACATATAAAATGTGTATAAAAGTATTTTATGGGGATTAATTCAACATTATAGGTATACTATAGGAAACTGAATTTATTTTTACTGCATTAGTTGCAGAACGCCAGTTTTTATTGTGATGCATAAATTAACTTTGGAAAATAGAAAATATTACATTTTACACCTTAAACACCTGAGCGTCTCTATACCGACCGCCGGTGCAACTAAAGAGTCCCCATTTCATGTACCTCAGGTATAGGGGATTATTGAAATACCTTTAGTCTGCCGCTCACTGGCTCTTAAACCACACATCGGTTGTCGATTCTTAGAGCTATATGGCTAGTACATTGCCACTTCAACTTACTGATCCATTGGGCTATGTTGGTTCTCCAGTTCTACTGCGCACATCGAAGTCTATTGCGCTAAAAAACTTTGAACATAGTTAGCTTGGCCTTCTCCATAGTTCCCTACGTTACCTTGAGCTTCCTCATACGGGTCTCAGTGAAGGTGGTCCTTCAGAGTACAGGTCTCAGAAACTATTGTCTATAAACTATTTTTTATTACTGGTTTATTTAAATAATGTAATGGGGGAAGGCCTGGTTCTTCTTTTTATAAGCAGCGTAAACTCTTCATGCCTAAATCACTGACTGCAAACAGTTTTGCAAAGACCTGATAGGGTTTTAGAAAAATCTCTCATACAAGGTCCCTTAAAATTTTGTTCTGTTCAAAGGTTCCAATTTGTTACATGTTGTACATTATCATTTCATCATTTAATATAGAGTTAATTTAATATCAGATTGTGAGGAACTGTTAGGCCTCAGGGTGACAACATGCGCCTTCTTTGTTCGATTGCTGGTCGAGTGGGTTGTTAACCTTAACTTAGCAAAATTTTAGCAGAAGGTGTGTCCCGTTAGTCAATTTTTTTTCAAAGATCTATTGTAATATTGTTGCATTCTTATATAATTTCTATTCAAATGTCTGCAGTAGTTGTGTAAGTTGTAGTGTTGGGTACCGGATTTATATAGTATGTACACACCTTTAGTTCGCCCATAAATGTATGTTGATGACGATAATGAGGATCTCAAAGTTTATAGTTATGGAATCTTTGGGGGTCGGGATGTTGAAATGATCTATTTCTAGATTGTCTTTTGTTTTGTTTTCCGTCTGTGTAGGCCTCTTACTTCTTTCTGCAGCAAAATAACTGTGCGTGCAAATGTTATTTCGGTCTGAAAGTATCGAGAGCCAGTATAATTATAAAGGGCTTAATACTCAATTATTTGAATTTTTCAAATCAGTAAGGAAAAAAATATTAATTCGAATATAGTTAATACGAATTGCAATCTGCTTTATTCGAAAGATTTTCAAACTATGAATGAACAGTGTAACTGGGTTGTCATGCATTGCGAGCAAACAAAGTAATATATGGGATAGTGGATATTCTTACACCGCCATTATATGTTTACCGTGGCTGTCGTAAAAGGCGACAGAGGGAAACAAATCAGGAGATGAGCAGCAGCGTCTTCCTAATAACAAATAAAAAAAGCTGCAGTTGCCAACCCGATTGTCAAGCGTGACCACCATGGAAAATCCCCTCATGAAGCAATCTATGGGAGGGGAGGATAGTTTTCGGCAATCGATTTCAATAGGCTGTAACGGTAACGGAAGTAATGTATGTGTGGGGGGTAATGTATGTGTGTGTTGCGAAGCTGTCGCCTGGTCGCGACGAGCACGAGGGTGAGCTGGAGGGGCCGGGCGCGTCGCAGAGCGCGGACTGCGAGCCCACGCCGCCGCCGCTACAGCGCCGCGGCTCCGCGGCCAATCTGTTCCCGCCGCCCGACCGCCAGCCGCGCGCGCACCACTACCCGCGCCTCAGCCCGCTACCCAGGAGCACCGGGTGAGTGTGCACACCGCGCCCCGCCCCCCGGCCAACCTGTTCCCGCCGCCCGACCGCCAGCCGCGTGCGCACCACTACCCGCGCCTCAACCCGTTGCCCAGGAGCACCGGGTGAGTGTACACACCGCGCCCCGGCCTCCGGTCAACCTGTTCCCGCCGCCCGACCGCCTGCCGCGCGCGCACCACTACCCGCGCCTCAGCCCGCTGCCCAGGAGCACCGGGTGAGTATGCACACCGCCTGCTCGTGAGACCTGAACGCCTGGCGTTCACCGCTTCTTACTCGAGAACACGAGGTGAGTATCCACCTCTTCCTTCCCTATCGCGGGTACGCGGCACTTCGCGTGCACTGCTACAAGCGCGTCTGCCCAATGTGCAGGAACATGGGGCGAGTATCCCGCCCTCCTGACCATTAGACACCTCGCACTTACTGCTTACTGCCTGGAATAGATTATCTTGCGTCCACACGGACCACATGGTTACTAAATTTTAGAATAAGTTTTTCTATTACTCACATTGGATAAAGCATAGACGTATTTATTCGTAACATAATATAATGATTCCAGTCACGGCACGACGACTTCGGGCTATCGGGTGGTGATGGAGCCACTCCGCTACGAGACCGGAGCGAACGGAGCTCGGCCGTCTCCTACGATGCAGCAACGCATCAAAGCCTTAGGCGTACCCACGCCACTCGCTATCAGCAGTCCTGTGCGAAGGTACACCCCTGCTTTATATCCCGCCCACCACTCTTGAACGGACGTTGATTTTTGATCTAGCAATCGGTTTCTCAATCTAGGACCTGTATCTTAATTTCAAGTAAATAAGGTTTACTCTATTAGTTGAAATTTGTTTTCTCGGACTACAAATTTTACATAGTTTCACTTAAAATTAAAGACAGCTCTTTTAGAATCCTATAAACAAAACTATGAAAACATAATAACGTAATTTTACCGTTGAACACTACCTGCAAAAAGAATCCAACCACGAAGTCCTAATTTTGAAATATTGACGCTTATAATTTGGATCAATTTTTATAGGTAATGACTGTCTTGGATTTGTTAATAATTGTTTTTGTGATTGACTACAATTTTTGCTAGCTTCTATTACTTATAATAGTTATCTAGGATCTATTACTATAACATAATAAACACAATATTATATTATAGCAATAGATCCTAGGGATTTAGACCCAAAAGTGACTTGAATCCATTTCGCGTAAATACATCCCTTTTTTTATAGAATAAGCGTGACAAATAGTAAAGCACACAGCCCACCTGATGTGGATGCTGTAGACCAAAACATGCAAAATTTGTTGGCCAATCTGCCGTTATTCACAACATTATTTAGTGAAAAATCTACTCTAAATAATTTGAAAGGGAATGCTTTTTAATTGTAATTTAGTATATTGCATACACATTGTATAGCATATCGATCATCCGAAAAATTGTTTGTTTATAGCACATGTTAATAAAAACTACTTTTTCCAATTTTATATTGAAAAACATAAAAATTGTTAACACTATACAGCGTCCGTTCAAGACAAAAAGTTAAACCCTGATAATTGTCAGAACAAGATGCTTTAAAACTAGTAAATGAATGTTAATTTTCCACATGTCCAATGCAACACTTGACAGTATACAGTGCTTATGTTGTTAGCTGAAATTCAAAGGGAAAATTGGCGAAATTTACCGAGAAGATACAATTATTTTCCAAATTCACATAGGTATTTCATATTTATATATGTAATTTTCTATCGTATCATGGCCTTTTCCCATCGTATCAACTAATATCTTGATAAACATAACGATCCCTTTCCATGAAATGCATCGCTTCTGTTTTTATTATGTTAAATGTTTAGAGTTTTTTTTATTTGCATGTAAAATGGTTTGCGTCATATGATTAGCGATGATATATTTTATTTGAGAATACTGACAGTGCATTATATATTTTTTGCCGTCGGTGTTAAATGCTTATTAAAAAAACAAAGCCCATGGTTATGTGGTATAATTTGGTTGAGGGGACTAAGGCCAAATACTCAAACGCTAGTCAGTTTCAAGATTTCATTAAGTCTCGTACCATGAAGGTTAGAGAACAGGAGAACGATCGCCGTAGAAAATAGTGTCCCAGAAATATGGACACCATATAAGTGAGGCGCTGCGATCACTAAGTTCGCTCAATAAAAGTCATTTTCAGTCTATTTATCCGATCAGATGCTAAACCACTTGCACATGCACGCACAATAAAATATTTCTCCATTTTTTAATGTTTCTTTTTGTCAAAAATTACAAAATTACGGAGCATGAAAATTTTCTCATTAAAAATGAAATGAAAATTTGTACATTATTCAACTAACTTCATCTACTTGTACTCATAAACAGCTAACTTCGCAGTCACTACTCACCGACGTCAGCGCCGGTTATTCTACAATTTTCAAGGACAGGCGTGCTATGCTTTAGTACGTAGTGATCGTTCTCCTGTTCTCTAACCTTCATGTCTCGTGCTGTCACAGCCACTTTGACTTAAAGTGATAGATACCGCATGAGATTTAACGTCGTCTTAAAATTGGGCAACGTTTGAGTTTTTTTGCGATAGGAATGCAAATTTCATTATAGAACTTATTAGAATTTCATATAGAATTATAGAAATCTTAAAGCATAAACATGGGATTTGCTTATAAAATTTTGTTTACACTTTTGTCATCGTAATGTTCGGTTCAATGCATACAATAAACGCTTACTTGTAATCAGTTAAATGCCAAGTAATCTCTTGGATTCTGTATTAAAAATCCCACAAAAATCTAATATCAGGCTCGGAAGACCAAGTGTGAACAAATACGCAGTTCTTTTCTAAGAGGTGTTTGAATAGCAAAGCGTAATGGATTTTATAAATGTGAACAATAATCAAAAAAATCTAATGTGTAAACACAGTAAAAATAATTAATTTTCGAAAATACACTGGTTCATAGTACACTAAAGTTGGTCTATACAATGCATACCCATATTTTTTTTCATTTAATTCGCATTATACCTGCATTCAAGCACTTCGACAATTTAATAACCTGCAAATGCTAATCTTATATTATTCTTACACTGCATTCAAAGTCGGTCTAAGGGTTCTACCATTTTGCTTTTTTTATGGAATCACGGAAATGACCTCTTCATATTTTTACATATACACTAACTTACATATTGCAATAAATAAAGATAATATTTGCTTATTATTAATAAATTAATTTCTTCAACAAATAACGCCTGAGCCATCTAACATTAATTTACTCATGATTTGTTCATTTTTATCGACTGTGGTGTTTATTTTTGGATAGACCGACAAGGGAGGCAGTGTTTATATTGCTACCCGCAAATATAAGTATTTTACTGAATTTTAATATATCTGTTTTACTCAACTTTACTCTCTCCACCCTCCTCTTTTCATCCACTGTGCCCTATTTGGTCCAGTTGAAAATTATCTAAATTGTTACTTACATTTTGACTATGGAAGTTTGAATGTTTTCCGCTCAATTCGGCTTAAAGTGCTAATGATATAGCTCTGAATAGATGTATATAATGAGATACTTATATTTGTGGTATTGTTGTGGGTAAGCTGCAAAGTGATAAAGTGACCGTTTACCGCTTACCACACGCGGCAGGTGGACCTAACGCATAGAGCCGACGTGTCGAGGGTAAATCGCAAGAATATTGTCTATGTTTGGTTTTTTGTGTGTTATCTTTCTGTAGTGGAATTTTGTTACATTATTACAAGCGCTCTTTGATCGAAGAGTTTTTCTCAATTAAAAGCTCAATGCAAATTTCATTTGCAAACTACACTCTCAAAAGAGGTACAAACTAAAATTTTATAAGAGCCACAAGCACGGAATACAGTTCAAGTACATAGTGATAGTAAAACAAATTTAAATGTATAATTTCCGAACCTCGCATATATAGCCAGAAAACTCCAAATTCAACAAAACGAATATTTATGAAAGATTATATTATTGTGGACAAATTAAAATTATATTATAATTATTCATGTCTTTAAATTAAAATTGAGCCTATAAATATTTATGACAAGCATTGTAAAATTTTTTATTATATGTTGCGGCTGCTTGGTAATTTATGTATATATTTATTTACATGGTACACTCAAACAAACAAAAAATTTCATCAAAATTAACCCAACCAACATCAGGGAGGAGTTCAGTGACAAACACAAGAACTGAAGAATTATAATATAAAAAGGTTTAAAAAATATTTGTGTAATTTTTTATTTTATTAATATAATATTTAAAATAAAACCTCGTTAGCATTATAGTTAACAAAATTCCACTATAATAATTTTGTGTTGCCGCACTGTAGGATGATATGTGATACAAATTATTGAATGTTTTTTTATATTTTTTGCAGGAATGTATTTTTTTAAATAATGTTTTTTGAAGATAATATTTGTTTTTGTTTACATACCAACAAATGCAATGTTTTTGTGCTTTGTTTAAAAAATAAATTCCTCAAGTGCAAGAACCATTGCTTTGTTTTAAAAAAAAATCTTATTTTGTGTACATATAATTTGTACTCTAAACACAATAATGAACTGTGTATAATACCATCTTTATATTTTTATATGTGACATCATAATTACGTTAATTTTTTTTTTGCAAGAACTAAAAAATGTGCATGCATTTTTGTAGATGGTATTATTAACTATTTTTAAATATAGGTTCTGTTTTGCTAAAATACCTATACTATTAAAAATGTAAATCTTAACTTTGTTGTAACTAAGAATTTCAACTCATATTTTTTATTTATGATGAAAGAAGCAGAACTTATAATTTTATGCAAGCTGGTATAAAACACAAAGAGCTAGTGAAACGTAATAAGATTTAAGAAAAAAAATTAGGTCAGATCTTTAACAAACTTCCGAAACTATAATAGATTATATTACATATTTCCCTTAACTTTAATATGTTACACTAGTGTATAAATATATCTTGATGAACTGAAAAGCAATTAATAAAAAATAATTCCATTGCCAATAAATAAATAATAAATAAAATTACGAGTCTATGGGATGAACGGCACTCAAAAATTATTTCAAACCACTGTGCAAAACTTGTAAATTGTATATAGTAATAATAAGTTCATCAGGATAGGGATTGTTAGCTTGCCATAGTATAGTGTATGATAGTGCATAATTTGTATAGAAGCATGTAGCGTTGCATGTTCCGCTCACTGTTGTCACGTTCAGAAGTACTGCTGTCGTACTGTTGCTGTGCCAAGTATAGATGACATCACTAGTACTGTTCAATTATCTAACATAATATTTGTTACATTTTATGTTCAGATTTGAAATAATTTTGTTTACGCCTTATTTCAGTAGAGTAGGATGCTAAAAGTGACTCACAAAACGGTCACCTATACATTGGTAATCAAAAAGTTAATAGATAGTTCAATCCACGAATACGTGCTCGTCTCCGTCACAACAATGCACGTGTGCATTTTGATTGCTGTTATTATCGCCATGCCTTTTTTCATGTGTGTATCGACTGACTTATCATTAGTCCTGCAAGACCTGGACAAAGTACGGCTAAAAACATTTGAATAAGTGACAATTGTTGATAAGGATTGAAGTTTTAGTTCTCGTTTTATCATGCATAGGACATTAAAAAGAGTAGATTTTTTTTAAATAATACAATTTTAATAAATAAATAATAAATTGTAAACAAATATGTATTATATGTTTTTTAAATTGACCACGTTTTTTTTTTCATATTCTTACATTGTCATCTGATTCTGAGCTATATTTAAAATTTCAAGTTTTTAGCTCGCTCTTCTAGACGAAAGCGAGATAAAAAAACGTGGTAAAGAGTGTAATATAGCCGGGCCACATTTAAATAAAATCGAAAATAACGCACTTAATAAGAACTCGTGCTCGTAGATTGAATTTATACAGGGGTAATAGTAACGAAACGGTCTAAAAAAAAATTTAAAATCATGCACCGAATAAGGGTGTGTGTTCATGGATTGAACTATAGAACGGTAACAGTAACGAAACCGGCTCTGAACGGCGGTCGCGGCTCCCCGCATCTCCCGTCTCCTTCTGTCCGTAGGCCGTACGATAACGGCAGCCCGCGCTCGGACGAGCTCGCGCGTTTAAACCCCTGACGTGAGCGCCGCGCACAGGTCCAACCCGGGCACGCCCACGCAGCCGCGCCGCCCGGACTTCGCGGCCGGCGCTCGCGGAACTTCTCCGCAGCGCCGCTTCCTGTCCGAGGGCGAGCTGCTGCGTGCCGAGCCGCCCGCGCACCGCCCCACCGCCGACGACATCCGCGAGCTGGCGGCCTCGCCGCAGCGCGGCTACATGTGGGCGGAGCGGCCCCCCGCGCCCGCCGTCCCGCACGCCCCCCACGCGCAGCCGTCGCCGCTGTCGCGCCGGCGCACGCCCGCGCCGCATCCCCCACCGCACCCACCGCCGCGGCCCGCACGCCCCTTGTCCTTCGTGCGCGCGCTCGAGGTGCAAGACCAGCTTGAGCGTGCGCCTCCCGCCGACCCCCCGGATCGCGCTTCTGTCTACGACTGCAACTACGAGATCTCCGTCTGAATGTCGGATACGAACGTTTAACGCACAATTGACGCGTCGACCGAACGATAGTACAGTGGTATTATAGAATGTTATTGGTGTTCAGTGACCGCGAATTGTAAAAGTTTTATATGTATGTATATTTGTGAGTATTGTATTCATTGATTATTAATGGGTGGAGTTGCTGACTCTGTAAATAATATCCCCACCCCACAGTGTTGTGAATCGGATTTGTCAAGTTGACGCCGTTGAGCCTATCGAGTGCATGAACATAAGCATTTTGAATATTAAAATAGATCATTATTGTGTATTGTACAGGATAATTTTATAATTGACCCAAGAAAATGCTTATAGCGCGGACTAAAAACAATATCAACACAATGTCTCAAGAAATATGTTATATTTATATGTTAGCACTTTGAAGCTGATAATGTATGTTTTAGAATTAGATTGCAAGTGTCGGGCCACACTGTTAAGGAATTGCCTGTCTGGAAAATCTGCCTCAATTTTGTTTTAGTCGGAAACTTACCTGCAAATGCGCAGGTTAAGAGGTTGCTTTATTGTGAATTTTCTATTTCATTTGAATTGTCTTATAGTTAACGAAAAGGAATAACAACAATATTCAAAATATTTATTCACTATAATATTATTTAGAACATTTATGTAATTATAAATTATTGGATCCTACAAATATATAAAAAATTCAAATGAAGTAGAAAATGATAATCTGAAAAAATTGTGCCAAATATTCTGTAGATGAAGGTTAGATTAGTGGTGTGTTACATCTCGGTTCCTAAAATGATTATAAAACGAGTTGGGACTCCCCTTTCCATTGACAAAGAAAAAAAGCATTTATGTGTGCTCTTATTAATTTAGCATTTATAATTATTTTTTCTTGACAAGACAAAAATTGATTGAAATAGAGTAACTATTTTATTTTAAAGGTTAATTAAAATCATAAAAATTTGTAGCTCGAAACAGTTATACCTACACAGCTAAAGGGTGGGATTATAAATGGGTGTCGCCACTATTACTACACTACTCTCACATCTTTCTGTGACTATGCCAAAATACAAATTTAGATAAGCATTTTCAAAATTTAGAAGATCTTGGTGGATTGAAAGTCACACAATTTTTTTTAAATTAATTATACAAGACAAGATTTCATTTATTTTTTCTTTTGTCGTCATGACCGATTTGCCATAAATAAAGTAAAGAAAAAGATCTTGGTGCAACCCTGAATGACAAAATATCTCTATAATATCTCGATCTCTATCTATCTATATAAATCTGTTCAATATTTTTTTTTTTACTTTGAATCATTAATTATTAATAAGTCCACAACTGAACGTAGGCTTGTCCCATAGATTGTCTCATAGGGATATTTTGTTTGGCAGGTGGGTTGGCATCAGCAGTCTTTCAATAATTGTATTTCAGGAAGACCTGATAGCAACTAAAATTAATAAAACTGCTGCTATCTGCCCATATTCTGCATCATTTCCCTCCTATCACCTCTTACGACACCCACAAGATGATGGATGGATTATATATGGCAACAAATTATCATCAGTCTCAATAATTAAAATCTTTATAATAAATCATCATCATTACAGCCCTTCACAAGTCCACTGGTGAACATAGGTCTCCCCAAAGTAATGCCACAAAGCATTTCATTAAAAAAAATATTATATTAATTTAATTAAAAATAAATATTGATTGTAAATTATATCATTAATAATTAATATACCATCTATAATATTAATCAATTAATTATTTAATCGATTGATTAAATTTGTTTTAATATATTAATCTAGATATTTCCAACTACTAGAAATTTCCAAATAAAGCAATGCAATATTTTCAATATAATATTGATATTTCTAAAATAACGATATAAGTTAAATACTATTTTTATATTATATTATTAATGGGCCACTATTTCTAATCCCATTCTTTATCCGCGCTAATATTTTGACGTGTTTCGTTCTGAAATTGAAATTTGTAAATATTCTTTAATATGTTCATTTTGGCATACTTTTATGAATAAATATGTTATAAATTGTAGAAAAAAAAACATGTTTGTATTATTGACAAAGGTTCTGATTTTAAATATAGGCATGGTACAGATTAAACTTAAAGGTTGTAAATGGTATTTTTGATAATTTATTGTTTAGCTTATATATTATGTGAAAATAGATGTGTATAATGAATTTTTGGCTAAGGCTAAGCATGGAAAATCTCCCGAGATCTCATCTTTCCGAATTTTTTTCCAATGGTCCACAAGAAACGTACTTAGGCTGTTTATTGTTTAGTTGTTCAAATTTGACAGTGTACTTTGATTTGACTTGTGAGTTAAGGTTTAATAAAACTTATAAGACATTTATTTGTCACTAATGACTATTGAGATTGTGTATATTAAAATTATTCTCGCGTTTTTTATTAAAATATATCAAACTATTTGTCAAACAACCTGTACATAAAATTAATTATAAAATTTTATAAATATTACTGACGCCCTGTATTTTAATAGTTTGTGACATATAGGATAGGAATTATTTTATCAGATAATGCATACTTAGTTAAAATTTATTCTTTATGTTTGATATATTTTATTAAAGAACAATGTGTTTTGTCTTCTATTCGCCAAATATAATAATGTAAATATTCCGCAATATAAAGTGAGTTATTTAAAAAATAAAGTTGTATAGATTGTGTATTAGCCGTTGTTATGGATGTTACTATTTGTAGATTGAAGTTATTTTCACGTGTATTTATTTTCGGTGCCAGTAAACAGCTGATCGCATTAAGTTTTCCTCAATAGACATATCAGTAGCGCTTTAATTTTTGCCGTTCATAAGGCCTTTTCACACTGGGACATTTTGTAGCACATAGTGAGGTTTTTTAAAAATATCAAATGCTTAAGCATAATATGTTAAGTTCTGGCATAGCAAGTCAGAACGAGTTATTGTATCACCTCAGGTTACCAACATGAAACAGAAAATATACAACCTAAACTAGTAAATCTACAACTTAAAAATTAATTTTGATAATACAATAGTAATCATTACTCGGTAATAAAGGATGTTATGTAAATGTCTGGCCCACGAGCCACGGAATCCACTTCCGGTTGTGCTCCTTGTTTGTCACTATTACTTGCAAAACAATGTTGCTGGCCTGTGTGACTTTCTGAAAGATAATTTTTTTAGATCCAAACCACCGTTTTTCCAAATTTTCGGTGTCTAAGTGAGCTATCGGCATTAACAAAATAATGATATCTCAATTCTTTAAATATTATTAAATAATTGGCTAAGATCCGAGTAAAATAAAATAGGTGTCTCTTAGTTTGAGGAGCACCTCCTGCATACCCTAAATTGCGTGCACTATCCTCGTCTTCACTCTTTTCCCTATACATTACCACTACACTAGAAAAGACAGTCATATATAATAGAATTTATGTTGTATATATGTTACAGTCAAAACTCTTAACCGGTCAAAACCACTTTTGACTGCAAAAATTAGGCAAAAGTAGTTTTGACTAAGGATGTTGGTCAAAACCACTTTTATCTGCAAAAATATTGGGTAATAGTGTTTTTTACCAAATTCTATCGGTTAAAAGTTGTTTTGACTAAGAATGTTAGTCAAAACTACTTATGCCTTATACTTTTTGAAATAAAACAAGTCAAATTTAAAATTACATTTTGTATCAATATAATGTACGTGGCTTTAGGGTGGCTCAAGGGCCATCCTAGCCGCACTTTAGCCTACTGTCACTGAGTTTTATAAGACGTAACTATTTTTGGCTAAAACATTAGTCAAAATTGTTTTTGACTAACGCTTCGCATACACTTAATCCTTCATCGGCCGAAGTTTGGTCGGGCGATGACGGCCGAACTCGGACGATCGAATCAAATACTTGTAAAACAAAGAGAGCGCCTACACAATAACGACCGTCATCGTCCGATAACGCACGAAAACGGCCGATCAACCGTAGAGTCCGAACTTGGGTATTTCTCGCCCGACTGCCGGCGTCTACAGTGCAAATTGAGTGTATTTATAGTTTAATTTAATCATTTCGTCTTTATTCTGTTGTTTCAGTCAGTGTTGTTATCTACCTAAACGACTATGGATGTGAAATATGGATTTCTCCATTTTAAAAACGCGTCTTCACTCTGTTAAGACAAATTCAACTACAGAATACCGACAACGTTAAATGTCGGCATAAGTGGTACACTGTTGCAGTGTAAGCACTTACACATCTGAATTACTCGTCCAGGTAGTTCTGTCCGCCATCGGCCGACAAAATCGGTTTTGGTGTACACGTACCGTAAGGGCCTCGGTCAAAATAATTTTTGCCCGATTTTTGCAGTCAAAAGTGATTTTGACTGGTTATGAGATTTAACTGTAACATATACATGTAATATGGAGGTGGTGTGTCTTTCTTAGTGTAGTGTTGTTAGGATTAGTGGTGACGGGAACGGTACACATATTTGCGGGAAGGCGGCTTAAAACTAGGTAGTTAGACACACCATTTTAATCTGTTACGGCGATCTTAGCTTATTAGTTTTAGCTTTTTTAATACAATGGACTCCCGCAAAGTAACGCCTGATTAAACTCAAGTTCGGAAGTGAACTTCGAATGTGAATAAACCTGCATGCGGCCTATGACTGAGCATCAAACAATATGCAGTATACCTCAATTTTGTTTAGAAATATGACGCCATGTTTCCACACATTCCGAAATTTAAGACTTCTTTCATTCTCTGCTAGTCTGTCACTTCGTTTGTATATCACGCGTACTTAATTTTATATTGAAATTCTCCAATCATGACAGAAATAAAAGCCCACCATTGCAGAATATGCTTTATCATTTCTTACCAATATTTCGTATTCTCGTATTCTATTGTATAAAAATTGCTCTAAGAGATTATAAATACAAAAATTAACAAACAAAGATTACTTTTTTTTATTGTGTCTAACCTAAAACGCTAACATTACTGCTTGTGTGAGAAGTATTTCATTCAT